TTGATCAACAAAAGATACTGGACCATGAAATGACTATAGAGGGGAGGTAGACGGGAAACAATATCAAACAACACGGTTCTGAACAGAGTCGGGTAGATACATACTGCATAATCCTCTACTCTACAACAACAACAACAACAAAGCCTTTTCCCACTAAGTGGGGTCGGCTATAATCCTCTACTCTAGATGTAAAAAAATTGAAACTCCATCTTTATGCAAAATTATGCTGTTCGAACCCCAACATTCGGGACACACTGAGGACAGTAAACATGAGGTAAAAGAAATGATATTAATACAAAGTTCAGCTTGCTCAGCTTAATGAGGGTATTCACTGATTGAGATGCATAGAAAACCATTCCCAATACATCACGACCCAACTTTCTCAGCTCGGACAGCTAAACCATCGGTAGAAAATTGCCCCTGTTGGTGGCGGACACCTAACACAAGGACAACTTGTGACACCAAAGGACATTGTCAAATCGAACCCTCCCCATAGCAGCTTAACAATGAATTCAATTGGCAGCAGCCGGAAAACATTAAGAACCGTCCTTTAAAATTCAATCGGTGATAGCTCAAAGCATAGCCAAACTACAATAAAGGGACAACTGGAAGACAGTAATTCCACTTAACCATAAGAAAAATGAAGCCCAAAACACGTTTTTGGTCCTGCGAGTCTTCACAAAGCTCGTTTCATCTGGTATTTTCAATTGCACCTAATTTGGCCCCTTTAACTTGCAAATTGTTCCAATCCGAGGAAATCCCCCAACTTCTGTTGACCTTTGGACGAAATTGTAGGGTAGAGTTGATTGCTTTCGTACAAGAAATCAACATAAGTGGACGGATCTCTCGAACAACTTGAAAAATAGTGCGACCAAATCCGATGCAACTGAAAATACAATGACGAAAGTGGAACTTTGCGAAGACAACAACTCAAAACGTGTTTTAGCCAAAAATTAGCATCAAAAGAAACATAAGAGCTTTAAAAATTCATTGCATATATAAAAAACAGACCAAGTCCAACCGGCAGTACCAAATTCCAACCAAAACACTATCTGACAGACCCGGCATTTTTTTTTTTGAATAATCGATATTATTTTCACTAATGGAAAGAAGGTAGGTTTAGCCTCGCAATGGCTAGCAATAATATGATTCAAATTCGTCTTTGACAATAATTAAAACTAAAACCTCTCACTTACAACCGTATTACTAAGTGACCACCCGACATTAATTATTCAACTCAATTAAAATAAGCAATTAGTACAAAATAATAATTTCTGCAACTAAATATTAAAAAGTGATCATCCTACTAATTACCCATTAAAAAAATAAGTAATGATATCCACACAATTATTTTTATTTATTTTACCTTCTTAATTTTTAACCGTTAAATCGAAACGAATGAATTGAAAAAGATTAATTTGATTTTTATTTCTCTCATACTTTCTTAATTTTTCGACCAACCGTAATAAATTGTATCCTTAAAATATAATAATCTACCAAAATTTAATTAATTTAACTACAATACCACTCAATTACAATAAACTACTAAATAAACCCAGAAGCAACAAAAACTTACCGGTACCCTTTTCGACCCACGGCGAGACAAGGATGGTCGGCACCCGCACACCCAACCGGTCAAACCGGAAATAATACGGGTCGGGCCCCTCGATCCCATCCGGGCTCGGCACACCCGAAACCGGCGTCGGCACATGGTCGTAAAACCCGCCGTGCTCGTCGTAAGTAATCAGCAATGCCATTTCTTTCCACTGCGGGCTAGCCCTCAGCGTCTCGTACACCTCCTTCACGAACCTCTGCCCGCGCGCCACGTCATGCGACGGATGGTCGTCGTTGGCGGGAAGCTCCTTGACGTCGAAGTACCGCTGCTCGATCACCGCATAGTTGGGCAGCTTCCCGAGCCGCGCGTGCCGCTTGAACGTCAGCGCGTAGCTGTGGAATTTCTTCACGTGCTTCAGTTTCCTCAGGCTGTTGAAGAAGAGCGTGGCGGGGATGTTCTGGTAATAAATGCCGAAGTCGAGGCCATTTTCGTCCAGAGAGTCGAAGATCGTTTTCTGAGGGAAGCCGTGGATGAGGTCCTTGCGGACGTTGCTCATGGCACCGTGTGACGTGGCCGAGTGGACGTAGAACCGGTTCGGCTGAGTCGACGCCGGCACGGACGCGAACCACCGGTCGAACACGGCGAACTCGTTTGCTAACCCGGTGTAGACGGGGAGGACTTCCGGCTTGAACCCGCTCATCACTGTCCTCGCCATCCCCTCGCCCATACTATCCGCCTGCTGAGCGAACCCGTTCATCGGTGCCGGGTTCTCGGAGCTCTCGTTTGACCCGTATATCTGTTCACGAATCGCCTGAAACGAGTGACCCGGGTCGGAGTCGATGAAAAAGGCGTCGTTTGAGACGCGGACTCGAGCCGAGCCCGGTAGCAAGACGGAAATCGGGTTCGATTCGTTCCCGTTCAGGCCGTCGATGTCGGGTCGGGTCGACTTGAGCCAGCCAAAGATGTGGTCAAAGGAGCGGTTTTCCATGACGACGACCACCACCGTTTTGATAGGCCCTTTGATTTTGGGGGTTTTGCGCGCCGCAATGAATTGGGTGGAGACCAACAAGAGGTAGAAGAAGAAGAGAGCCCAGGTGACGGGTTTTCGCCGGGAAGCCATCTCCGGTGACCGGAACTTGTTAAACTCCGGTAAACCCAGAGAGCTAAAGCGAAAGGCTCCGGCTTTGAAGTGTAAATTGTTCGTATTTGTGGAGGAAAATGGTGGACAAAGGTATATGCTTTGAGGATAAATCTCTTAGGAGTCGTTTTGTTTTGAATTCAACACCAAATGAGAGAGAGAAGACGGCGAACATAAAGAGGGAGACTAGGAGCGTTAGGATGGGACGTTTTTTCTTTTTAAATTTATGAGATGAAGTTGAAGACACGTAAGCCCAAAAAGTGTTAAAGAAGAACTGGGTTGGGGACACGTGGCATTTCAAGATGCATATGGTGTTTGGTAAGATGGATGAGCTAGAGATTGTTCCTTACTGAGTAAATAACTAAATATATACTGTTTTATTGAAATAATTGTCGTCACAAATGTGCAAATTAATTAAGTTAAACTATGGAAAGCTTTATATCGAGAGATAAAAAAGTTCACTATATTTTACGTAACTTTAGTAGTTTTTAAACATGTCAAACAACGACAAAAACATAAAAACAACTAAAATCCAGTCCAAAATCATTGAAATATATAAATTATACTCGCTTTAAGGTTGTTAATAACATCTAGCTCTTACAACTCCAACAAAATTAATATGTGCCAAAAGCTTAACTCATCATCGACTATTTTTGCATAATCAAAATTTGAAACTATATGTAGAATCAATTTTTATTCTTTATTATTAGAATCAATTCAACCTATCTTCATCTATTTTTGTGGAATCAGTTCAATTAATCATCAACCATTTTTGCAGAATCAGTTCAACCAGTTTAACCCATCATCGACAATTTTTGCAAAATCAGTTCAACCCGTATTCGACCACTTTTGCAGACTCAGTTCAACCCGTCATCAACATCTTTTGCAGAATCAGTTCAACCAGTCCTCGACCATTTTTTGCAGATTCAGTTCAATTGTCTTCGACCACTTTTGCAGAGTCAATTTAACCCATCTTTGACCATTTTTTCAGAGTCAGTTCAACCCTTCTTGGACAATTTTTGCAAAATCAGTTTAACTCGTCTCCGACCATTTTTGTAGAATCAATTCAACTTGTCATCGATCATTTTTTGCAGAATCCGTTCAACCAATCCTTGATCATTTTTGTAGAATCAATTCAATATGTCCTCAACTATTTTTGCAAAATTAATTCAATCCGTAAATATAAATACTTTGTTTTCTTCACTGTAAATATAAAGAAGAGAATTGCTAGCAAGACTCGCCACTAAAGCGAGTCCTGCACCCTTCATCATAAAAATAAGAAAAACTGTAAAACTATCCATTTTGGGGCCATTGTTTACACCTCCATCACCCTTCATCATCTTTATGCAAGATTGCAAAACAGACTCCACCTTCAACCGAAGTAGTTCCACCACCACCACCAAACTAACCCATTTTTTTCTTTCAATTTTCGTTGCTTAATTTTTAATTCTTTGTAAAATTTACAGTTTAATTTTATAAACCAATTAAGCCAATTGAAACACCGTGCCTTGCTGCACATTTCAAACTTGGTTTTGATGTCTCCCTGCACATTTGAAATCTGAAGTGGGGTGAGAAGTAGTGAGTTGAATCAAAACCTCTTATATGAGCTTGGTGTGGAAGTTTAGACGAAGAAAGAAAGGGAGATATGGGAGTTGCCGATGGTGGATTGGGGTGGGTGGAAGTTTTATTGATGGTTTGTCGGCGGCGGAGCAAAGTGGGGTGGGTGAGTGGAAGTCTTCTTGACAATTTGCTTCCTTCAAAATTCTGATTCAATGAGACAACAGAGGAAAATGTTTGATCTTAAAATGTTTAAAAAAAAGTCAATGATGTCATCTATCACATATATTAATTTTTATCTTTACTTGAAATGTTTAAAAAGTGTTGTTTCAATATAAAATTAAGTATTAAAAATATACTTTAAGTGTAATTTTTCCTAAATATATAACTGTTTTATTGAAATAATTGTGTCACAAATGTGCTAATTAATTAAGCATTACGTCACTTGTAACATAAATTATACTATTAATTGGATCAAATGTACAGAGGAAAAAAATCTTGCATAAGGACGGCCGCAAAACCTACGGGTCCACATTTTGTTTTGCATAAGTTTGTATGCGGGAACGAGGATCATCTTTGGACCATTTTTGTGAGGATCCAAATGATTTTTTAATTGTGTCTATTCATCGTAAATCGTGTGATTAATTTTCGTTAGATATTATGTGTGAGTATCCTCAAATAATACCACAAGAATCGAGCCTAAAACTTCTCATTTACAAGTGGAAAAGAATATTATTAGACTGTAATACTAAATAACAACTTGTAGTTGAATTATAAAATTAAAAAATAAAGGTCTAAATCAAGTAACGACTAATACACACACCTAAGCAATTCATAACATCACTCATAAAATATTTTAAGAATATCTCACACGCTAAATGAGCGGTTGATATAGTTGGTACATACGCAGAACGACAAACTCGACAAGATCAAACTGCCAAAGGTTCCAATTTACAACAAAAAAACCATAAGCCTATTTGCTTTAGTCCAACATTTTAAAAGGAATAGTGTTATTTACACGTCCAAATTCACCTCTCACGCACCTTATTAATTTTTTGCCGTTGATTTTCTTCAATTCATTTGATCCGAAGCCGAAAATTGAGAGAGGCGTGTGAGAAGTAAAAATGAATGTGCGAATAGCACTACCATTTAGAAGACCAGATTTGGAAAGCAAAGATGCCCTGTGGTTATCTTATATGTAGAAGAATTGATGGTTGCTTGTGTTTCCTTAGAAAAGATAAAGTGCCATCTTTTGCTTGTTTTGTTTCCATTTAGGAAGCTTATAGAAGTCCCTTTTGGCCATTCCAAAATGCACTTGGAATTCTTCATCAGAGAGATATGCCTGAAAACACCAGAACAAGTTGATCAGTGATTGCTTTACTGGACTCAAGTACAACTGATATTTCATATTTTTCATAGACATTTTCATTGCATGCTATGAACCGAAAAGATTAAGCAGACGGCAAAGAAAAAGGACGTAAAAACAGGCCTAGTAATCAAGCTGACTGTCGTGGCATTGAGAGAAGAAACCGGTTTCTATGAAGATTTTGAGTTTTGAGTTCAACACGGTTTTCAGGTATGGTCAGGTAGAAACCAAATATGGGAGAAACTAGAAGAGAAGAAATGAAAACTGAAAGCGCATAGCTGCACAAGTGAAACATGGAAATCCTGTTGAAATTTCGGAAGTGTTCCTCCCCCTCATTTCGGACCTTTATTGATTAGGTAAATTATTTGATGCTGTTTGTGTTCGGAAACTGACATATTCGGTTTCCAGGTATAGCATTTTGCATTAAACATAGAACCCCAAAAGAAATTAGGTTGTCTCTAGATGAGTGCAAAGGGGGGGGTACCTCTCTTTTGGTTATGTCTATTCCTGCTGCCGGGTTTAAAGAAACCACTTTCAGTCGTTCATATGGATACGTCAACAAGTTTAGGCCTCCTTCACCAGGCTTACTTCCATTAGCCTTAGTGCCACCCGTATTATCCAGTAAGTTTACTGGAGAACCTGCAGGTACAATTGACTCGCCTACCAAAAGAAATTAAAGACAAAAGAATGAGGTCGTAGGTGTTGGAAACAAAGACAAGGAAGCATCAAGAGATACAGTGTTTTCGTATAACTTCATGAAACTTGTGATCTTTCGTTACCAGGACTACTGTAAGGAGAGGATTTTGGAAAGAGTTTCTTAGTTGGAGCAGATGAGCTGGAAAAGATGTGATTGTTTGGGGACTTGACATTAGAAAGTGAACCACCGGATGCAGGAGAAGCACTTCTCCGGCCATTGGAACTCATGGACTTGCTTCTAAAACCATCTGGGGTTGTCTCCCTGGACCTGGAGTTTGCTTTCCATGTGTTTCTTATAGGTGCCTAAGATATTCAATGAGAGACACGTGAATGAAGTCACTTACTCTGATTGAAAGACAAATAGAGGTTACATAAATTGAAACAACTTGAAGTCACTTACTTCTAATTGTTGTGGTTTTCCCTTTAAAATAGCTAGCTTCCGCTCAAATGAGTTGCCATGCATCTACAGCGGAAACAGTTTAGTTGAGAACCTCATGGAACAATCACCGTTGTACAACAGAAATCAAGGAAATCTTAGTTTCGATCTTATGAACAAATTCAGCGGGAGCACAACAATGCATCATTTATGTAGGCGAACAATCTTACATTTGACTTTGATGGATCCCATTCGAAGAAACGAGTGAAAAATGGTGGTTCATGCCCTTCACCAACAACATGTATAGGAGTCTCCAAAGATAGCCCTTCAACCAGTACATCTGTCTCGAGAAATTTCTGTGAGAGGCCCAGAAACAAGTAAAATGTAGGAAAATACGAGCATGCATAAAAGTATGAAAAAGGTAAACCTAGCACTTCACTACATTAAATTTTGATGCAGCCAAACAAAGCAACTATAGAAATGTGACCAATGAAACCGAAAAATTGAATGATTAATTAATATGCAGTAGAAAGTTTTCTAGTCTGATGCATAATGTAGGTTTCATGGTGGAAAACTAACCAGGCCTAGAGTAAGGGCTTGTTGCTTTGAACTAATCTTAGAGTGGCATCCAATCCAAACATAAATCTCGTCGTGGCAGTCAAGTAATAACACGTCTTCAGTAGTTAAATCATCCTGTGTAAAATTGTATATCTCCTTCACCTGAAATATGCAAACTGATTCAGATGAAGTATCTTCGAAGTACCAAGAAACCTTACTCCTGGTACTATTGAAATGAAATTTTCACATGGTAGGAGAGTTAAAGTATATGAAAGTATACCTTGAAATCACCTGAATGAGGAATTTGGATCAAGATGCAAAACAAGCAAAACCCCGTTATTAGAACGTTTTTACAGCCATGTAAAGCCAAGATGATTCTGAATCAAGGCAACACTGCAATATCTTTGGAGAGAACAATTAGAAAGTTGGGACATTTTGTGTACCTTCAGTTATGCTCAACATAAACAAATTTGGGTCTTCCATGTGTCCTTTTATTTCTTTTGCCCTCGGATACTCAGCCTTTCCACCAAGCACATTCCAGAAAGCATCGGATTCACTCCCTTCCCTCACTGATACGGCTTGCCACGTTGGCTGATTGACATCAAGAGAAAATACATATATTATACAATTCTGCGTGAAGTATGAGAAAAAAAAATCGAAGAGAAGTTTAAAGATCGAGTTACATGTATTAATTCGAGCATTCTGTCAAGAAGGTCATGGTCTCTGGTCGAGGAGAGATTCCCAATCCAAGTGAAAGCAGATGCACCAGTTTGCAGGATGTAACAATAACACGAGTTCAAAGATCTTGAAACCTGCAACAGTATGAATTTATACTCAAATCTTACAGGCATACGCAACGCGAGAGGTCAAGAATCAAGACACACTTTCAAAGGCTAATAATAGTGTGATCTCAATATTCTTTCCATTCTACGATAGAAAAATTAAAAGGTCCTGGCTCAAAAGCTCACCGGATCAACTTGGATCGCCTGCATATTGTTGGGACTTGTCCCTTGAACACGAAAAAGGGCAGTCTTGCTTTCATCATAAGTTTCATCTGCAATACCATTTTCTGCTATAAAATTCTTGTATCGTGCACTTCTACCTCCCTAAGAAGAAAAACTATCATCAGGAAGCTGCCGGATGATTAACATCAGATTAACTTGAAACGGAAACAATATTTAACTTTAAATGGAAACTATATTAGACTAGAGAGAGCAGAGGTATGAACCTTGTAAATAATTAATGTCCGGAAAATGGAAAAGAATTGAGAAGGCTCCTTGTTCTCCATAACTTGAGCCTGAACTTGAAAAATGTGAGGTAAATCAGAGATAAATGTGTTCTAAATAAACCAATATACAATGCAAAGGTGATTATTTGCAAAAATATAACTACTAACTTAATCACCGGATCATTTCGAAAGATCACGCATAGGAGAAAGAAACATAAAGCTTACCAAAACAGGGTCTCCCTTGGTTGAATCGACTAGGGCATTCATACGAGAGATAGCATCCCTTCGATCTTCCTACAAGCAGAACAGAGATAAAAATAATGATAATAAATTTTCACCCAACAACTACCGTATTCAAATCTCTTCAGTTACCACTTACCGTTACGCTTTGACAGCCAAGCCATGCATAAAAGAGATGGTCACTCTTTTCCTTTCCAGGATAAGTATACTGCACAACATAGCAATCCCCGCTGAATATTTTCCGCTGGTCTGAAGCTGGAATGAGGGACAGTTTATCACCATCCACCCGCCAAACCTGAAATGTTATAGATTGCAATTAAGGGGCAACAGAATCAAATACAGACTTTGAAAGAGTGAAATTTCCGGTAAGAAGGTACCTTCAATGTGCCACTGCAATCTATAAATGGCTGGATGTCTTCTTCATCTGGAAGCTCTTTCACCTCATAACCCTTTTGCTTGAACATTGCTGCCATAAAGTAAATATTATAAGAGCTATATTAAGGTAAATCCTTCTTTAGTTACAGCACTAGTAATTGTAAAGTTGGTACTTGGTTACGGGATTAAACCTGCTACTTTTTCTCGGCCTTCTTCATACAGCTTGATTTTGACTGTTTGAGGCCAATTATCAAAGTATGACCTAAACTTAACAGTTTCTAATCCTTCAGTTATAAACACTGAATGAGTCCCCGCTGACCTGCCTTGGTTTCTGAGGAAATCCTGATAAAGAGTAGGCAATCATTATGGAAAACAATGCCTATGGCTCAAACATGAGCTTCAATTATAGCATTTTACTTCCTTTACGTAACTAAATTTCTTGTGTACTTGAAAACTCATCTGTCTTCCCTTGAGGGGTTTGGGCTCTTTCAAAAAGTAATAAAAAGGGGGATGAAAATAATACAGGAGGAAAAATTCTTACTTCTGTAGCGGAAATTGATGTTTTTCTTTCTGTAACTGAGGTATGCTTTCCCATCCAAACAAAAATCTCAGAATCACAGTCCAGCATATAACACTTGTCCGTCTCCAACATTTCTTTATTTAGTGAGTCAGTTCGACATGGACATAGTTTACCCTGAGTTGATATCCTTAGAATAATGTCAACAAAACTTTATGAGCAAGATATATAAGATTTGAAGAAATATAATCACGAGAAGTGATCAAGAATTATCAATACTGACCACGATAGTTTCACAAAGGGTGTCTCCGGTCTTTCCTGGACAGAAGACGGTGGATCCTGGGGAATGGGAGCATAACCACCAAATAAGCTCCAGAATTCACCCACTTCAGGATCACCAACGAATTTTCCATCCTCTGCAGCACTTTAACAATCAACAATTGTATGGTTTTCTTAAAGGAAAGAGAGAGAGGTCAGAAGATTGCCAACCTACAGTTGCCACCTCGCATTTTTCCCGATGCTTATTCTCTTTGATGTATTGAACAACCTCCAAACCCTTGGCTCTTTCCTGTATGCTAGAGTTGCACCCACTAAAGAGGAAAATTTTCGATGCAGTATCAAGTATGAATACGTCATTGTGGTTCAATGATGACCGAGAGAAAGGAACCTAGTTGACGATATAAATTCTGATGAGAGGTCTAGAAGAAACAACAGCAGTAAATGGAAAAGAGAAAAAGGAATCTTACTTCTTTAACATGAACAACATGGTCCCCTTTGCAAGCTAACAAGCTGACTTTATATGTTTCACCATTTAAGCGCTCTTGTTGTGTTCTATATGCTCCTTCAATGGGGATAATACAGGGTTTGAAGTACGATAAAAACTTTTGTGTTTCATGGCCTTGAAGCTCCCTATATTGCACAGTGCAGGACCCTAGGGCTGCATCTAGTTCTAGTGCTTTATCTGATGCCAACGCCGAGTCCTCCTGCCAATATGATATTAGCTATAAGAACCGTCAAATGATGTGAGTAATTCATTTTTCAGATTTTTTCATACTTGTCAGAATCAAAACTTGATATTTTCCTGCCATCAATTTCCTAGGTAAGAATGTCACCGTACGAGAGCAAAAACACACACATAGATTCTCGTAGAGAATTCTTTTTTACCCCAGACCCTCCCCGTTCCCTTTGGAGTTTTGTGGCTAAAGGTAGAATTAACTGACTCTACAGAAAAGGTTTCTATTATCAACATCACGCACAAACAATAATTAATCTTGCAGCATCTTACGTATGTTCAGCTCTACAGAATACTAACAAGACAACATTTCTTTTGGGTCAAAAACTAAAGCGACAAGTCGACAACATAACACTAGTAAACTGGTGTATTTGTATTTCTAGAATGCATGCCGAACAAGTGAACAAATTCAAACCTTGTTTGAGTCATTTCCCAGCCAATAGTGTATGTCATGCTGAGGAAGGCCATTTTTCGGCAGAAATGTCTGTCATGACAAACAAGTGAAACAGTCAAACTAGTTAAATACACAGATAAAAAGCTCTAGATATCGCAGATCCACCAACATTCTAAGATGATTAAATTGTACTGAGATGAACTTTAATTTGAAGATATGATATTGTGAGTAAAAGAAAACTAAATGGCAGTAAAATGAGCACAATCTTCGAACTACTTACATTTAAAATGACATATGCACTTCCGGAATAGAATTTCCGATGCGAAGATTTTGGAACAGAAACCAATTTTAGGTTCTCAACACACCAAATTTCCAAACCACTAATCATAAGAAGGTTAAGGATAAATCATTGAATTTCAACACAAGATGTATGAGATATCAAGGATCATAGTTAATTAACAAAATACCATTGAACACAACTGTATCTGTCCATTATTTGTTGCTAGCTATAAGAAAGGCCTCACGGTCAGCGAATTGTTTAATCTACGAACCCATCAACTCCTACCAACTAGATCCGAAAAGAAACAACATAGTTTTCTATGGATGCAGTACATATCTTCTGAACATCCTCAGCATTCGAAACAGTAGTAAACCAAAAACTTCCCAAATTCCGGGCATTTGAGCAGTTTTCGGTAACTGGCATATCATATAAGAATCAAATGGAACCATTTATAAAGGATACAGATTTGTTCCTGCAGCCTGGAATGCTGGATCCGTGTCTTTACCGTAAACAGACATTGCCTTTCATGTCACAGAAAACTCCACCAAAACAACCACCAAGTAAAAATTTCTGCATCCCAGATAAAAAATCAAATCAACCCAGATAAAAAAAATCATCCCTGAAACTTGATATTGCATTCACACAGGGTAACTACAAAAAAAAAAAAAAAATGAAAAAATGAAAAATAAAAAAAACAGATAAAAATTCAGTCTTTACAGTTTTACAAGTTAACACATTTGATATCAAATCACAAGGAAACATAATCTGGGAAAAGAAAAACGAAACCCCAAGATCGAGTGAGTAAATTCTTACCTACCACCCACTTAATTTCTCTGCAGAATTCTGGGTTTTGAAGGATTCAGTGAGATGGGCACTTCCCTGTGCTGATCTGTGATCTTATTCGCAGAGAAGAACACCGAAGAAAACAGTGGGAGTATATTCCACTATGTGCTTTTGACCCAGCTGCAGCTGCAAGAATAATGGAGTTGAAAACTTGGAACATAAATAAAGTGGGGAGTTTGGTGTGGTGGGGCCGTGGGAGCCTGGGAGGCACTGTTATTTTTGAGCTACAACTGGCCCCATGATCAAAAGTTGAAGAACAAGTTCGGCGTGGTGTGTGTGTCGTTTGGTTGCATGACATGTGAGATTGATGGGTGATGATCAGAGATGTTTCCCGCTCTTCTGCATCAAAGTTTGTTGGTTGTGAAACACAACTTTACTTAACACGTCTTGTTTGTTACTAGCATGTCAAAATAAGATGATGGTACCACCCATTGTAATACGACAACGATGTTTTCGACAAACAAAATGCTCTAAAATAGTCATTGTGCATTTGTTAATACTTGACAGATGATTCTTTATTGCAATGATTGAAAACAATTATATTATACGTTTTGGTGTGTATTCGATATCCGATGATTTCTTTACCTCTTAGCAATTAACTATTTAGCCTCTTATTAGAGCATCTTTAAAGGAGATGTTAAAATATCTAAATCAGCAATAACAGTAACAAAAGACAACATTAATGTTTTCCAACCGAGAAGCCAAATCTGATGTTGTATGACATGGAATGACATCTCTTCCTCTTGTTGCCAAATTTGACAACACCTTCAGATTTTTTAATTAATTATTAAATGTTTTTTATTAAATTTTTATTGGTTTAAAGCATGATCCTTTTGTTTCTTTTCATTCTCAATACAAAGAAAATACATATGATTTTTTATTTTATGTTTAAAATCTTGCATATCGGTTGGAGAGTAAAATTTTAAAAAAATATTAAAGTACCACGTAAACTTTCAAATTTAAATTTTAAGTTTAAAATTTAACTTCTTATTTGGAGATGGTCGTAACTCTGTCACTCTACATGCTGACAATTTTGAAATGTCAATAGTGGGCCGAGAATCCAAGCTCAATATGAAACTGCACGCATAATGGGCCGAGAATCCAAGCCCAATAAGACCCTCATTCAGATTCCCCTTCGTCCGCAATCCGAAACAGCGTAGAACAATGTTCTGCAAAAATTAGGGTATTGTTCTTCAAAAATTAGGGTTTCAGTTCACTACCCAAAGAGAAAGAAAGCAGAAAATCTTTGCGGAATCAGAACTATGAACCCACTAACCCTAGTGAAACGCATTCAGAACATCAATTCCAGAGAAGCCCAATTAGGGATTTCAGAGGAGGCATCGTGGCACGCCAAGTACAAAGACTCCGCCTACGTCTACGTCGGCGGCATTCCCTTCGATCTCACCGAAGGCGATCTCCTCGCCGTTTTCGCACAGTAAGCCCTAATTCTTCTTCAATTAATTTCAAATTTTCCATTTGTTTTTCAATTTTTTGACGTTCGATTCGGTTTCAGATACGGAGAGATCGTGGATGTGAATCTTGTTCGCGATAAGGCGACTGGGAAATCCAAAGGGTTTGCGTTTGTGGCGTACGAGGACCAGAGGAGCACGATTCTTGCTGTGGATAATTTGAACGGAGCTCAAATTTTGGGGCGGACAATTAGGGTTGATCATGTGACTAAGTACAAGAAGAAGGAGGAGGAAGATGAAGAGGAGGCGCAGAGGAAGAGGGAGGAGCGGGGCGTTTGCCGGGCTTTCCAGAAAGGCGAATGTACACGAGGTGATTCGTGCAAGTTTTCACACGATGAGCAGGTAAGTTCAACATTATCTGATTGATTCAGTTTTTCGCTGACTGCACGTTGATTTTTACTCTGTTACTTGGCTTTTGGGGAACGTGGATCGAAATATCTTAATGAATAAGTGGTAATGTAGTTTTTTTTTTGGCGAACTGTGGTAATGTAGTTTGATTGTTGTTATTGCAATGAAAAGGAGGTTGATTCCTGTGTATTACTTAAGATTGTGATGCTTTAAAATGTTTGAAGTTGATTCATTTATCTGAGTTTATGTACCGAATCGTTTATGTTAGTTGTAAAGGTTTATGTTTTATATAAAATCAAGTAATATCTTGCTATATAGGTGCTTATGTGTGCTTTTTTTTTGTTTGTATCCAGAGAGCTGCAAACACAGGTTGGGGTGAAAAAGACCCGAAATGGGGGCGTGACAGTTATGAGGGCCCAAAAAGGGGTGATAAAAGATCTAGCACCATTCTGCCAAATCGTGTTCAAGAGCCAAAAGTTCAAGAAGAGTTCAGATCAGGTGATAGAGAATTGGACTCCAGAAGAAAGGGCAACGGGAGGGACTTCGAAAGTCACCCTAAGCGAAGTGGTGGGAGAGAGCAAAAGAGACTGGGAAGACAGGGGGGTGATGATGAAAAGTTTGAGCTTAGATCAAGAGATCATGATAGGGGGGAAGAAAATAGATCAAGAAGACGGAGTGAGGATAATGAATTGGTGCCCAATTCAAGAGAAAATTGTGGCAGGAGAGAAGAACAGAGGTTGAGAAGGCACAATGATGATGAATTTCAGCCAAAGTCAAGAGAAGATTATGATAGAAAGGAAGATAAAAGACCCAGAAGGTGTGTTGATGATGAGGAATTTGAGCCAAAGCTTAAGTCTAGAGAAGATCATGATAGGAGGGGAGATGATAGAAGGGAAAATAAGAGACTAAGAAGGCATAGCGATGATGGTGAAATTGAGCCCAAATCTAAAGATGATCGTGGTAGGAGGGAAGATGATAGTAGGGAAGATAAGGGACTGAGAAGGTATGCTGGTGATGCTGATTTTGATCCAAAATCTAGAGACAATCATGATAGGATGGATGAAAAGAGATTGAGAAGGCACAGTGATTATGAAAATCAGCCGCAGTCTAGAGAAGATTATGATAGGAGGGAGGATCGGAGGTCAAGAAGACGCAATGACGATGAATTTGATCTGAAGTCGAGAGCAGGCAAGGATAAGAGGGAAGGAGAGAGATCGAGAAGGGATGGAGATGATGAGATTCAGCCAAAGTCTAGAGAAGGTCGTCGTAGGAGTGAAAAGGGAGAGTGAGAAGATGGGTTTTATGATAATCTAGGCTGAGATCAAAAGTTAGATTATTGAAGTGAAAAAAAGAGAAGGGCAGAATACAAGTACCACAAAGGAATGACTAGAATCCTACATGGAAAAATATTGATGCAAGAGAGGGGACACGTTGATGAACTAATGTGTAACACCCATCATAAAAAAGAGAGATAATGATGTAAATCAAATATCGATGCTGTTTCCAATTTTCCAACTTTGGCAACCCTTTTGTGCAATAAGATCACTTCTGTTACGTGTGAGACTTGTTTCTTAGTTTTTGCATAAGGTATATCCTAATTTTCTTTCCATTGATTTGTTGTGTTTGTTTTTTCTATAGGTTTTTGTTGGCGTTTCTGTTGGATGAGATTTAGTTGATATATGCATTTGACTAGCAATGTTGCAACTCTGCATAAAATCATTTCTTGATATGCAGTTTCTCATGGTTGTTGAAGTCCATTTGAATAGTATAGTTGTATGTGTATTGCCAAGAGCGTATCCAGGCACCTTATTTAATATGCATGATTTGTCGATGCCATTTGATGATCATAGAGATAGACTGGTTTGGTGGTTGGTGCAAACTTTTCACAGAAACAGTTTGTAGTTTAATTTTGGGCTGAAATTTGCAGGTGAACCATTGTAAGAAGAATTGGCCTGGATCGATGGAACATACGGATCGGTATGTTTCAATTCATTAAAAATGCCTGCTGGTTATTGTGCAATTGATTTATATATAGTTAAAAATCGCAAAACAGAAAGGCCTGCTCAAGGTGAGCAAATACATAGTAAAAAAACAGAGGCAGTCAACCAAGTGCTGAAATCCATATTTACAGTTACATGCCGGTTTCTTCTCCAGTCCCAGTTAAGACGAAAACAAAATGGTAAGGGTTCTTGCTAACAACAAGAAGTAAAGAAAATGGTGACTTGATTCATCAAGAATTCTGCCTCTCTGTTGGATCAGTTCCAATTGAGCCATGAGTAGTCATCGGTGTTCCTAGTTCTTTTGGTGGTGCTTCTCCAGAACTCTTTGATGTTCCAAGTTCTCTCGAAAATTCTTCTTCAGAAGACAGCGGTTTTCTAAGTTCATTTGGGAGTGCTTCCTCAGTAGGTAGTGCTGCTCGAGAAGACATTGACTTTCCAAGTTCTTTTGGCAGTGCTTCTTCAGAAGACATCAAATTTCCTAGTTCTTTGGGTAGTTCTTCAGAAGACATTGATTTTCTAAGTTCTTTGGGCGGTGCTGCTTCAGTAGACTTTGTTATTCCAAGTTCATTAGAATTCATTGATTTTACAAGATCTTTGGATATTGCTTCTGCCGGAGATATATATTTTCCTAGCTCTATCTATGGGTGGTGATTCTTTAGAAGGTATTGGTGTTCCAAGTCCTTTGGGCAGTATTGCTTCTTCAGAAGACAGCTTGTGTTGCAGTTAAACTAGGCACTAGAACAGGACCTCCTTCATAAGTAGGCAAGGCCTTATCGTCTTCATCTTTCGTACTTTCTGAAATCGTTCCTGTTAAGGTGTCGGGGTTGTCTTCTTTATAGATTCCTCCTTCACGGTGCTATTACCATTGTCTACGACTCGCACTTCCTTCTTTATACCAAGCAAAGTTCCATCTGCAGATTTGATAGCCTTGTCTTCAATTATGACCTCAATGTTGCTGTTAAATGGTGGGTTTTCATCCGCAGAGGCAGGTTTATCTGTAAAATCCGCACCCTTCGTATTCAACAGCAGTTCTTGGTCTTCAGGATGAGTAAAATTCCCGGGAATAATCGGTCCCACATCGACGTCTACAAGTTCATAATCCTTCCAGTCTTCATCAATTGATATGGTGTTCTTGGTTCTCCAGTTGTGCAGAATCCGATCTGGACCGGGTTGCCACAGCACATCTCCTGTGTCCTTTTTCAGTATAAACTTGTATTGGATTGCTATGCCAGTAGGAACATTCTATTCAAATTTAAAAACCAATCGAATTTCAGAAATCGCGTACAGATTTATACGATTCAGCCTGTAAATCTACATGTCAGGTATCGATCATTTGGTCTAGTGACACCGAATTCTTATAGTCGATGGTTTATGAATATGAATATAAAAATAGTAGAACGAATCATAAAGGAATTCTCACCAGCTCAATGTTCCATATGTTTCCATCTGACCAGTTCATTGGTGTAGCATTTGAAGGATCCCACTGTCCCATGATAGGTTCACTCCCCACCAAGAGGAAGCTCTCACCAAATTTGCACTCCTTGTGTAAATTGAATTGGACACGGACGGTTTCTGATTGCTCTGAAAAGCAGACACTGATCATCACTTGATATCGGAATTAGGAACTCGTTTGATATCGGAAGAGAAATATTTTACCAGATTAAGAGCTAGTTGGCACAAACTTGGAACTCGTTTAATATGATTAACAAGGTTGAATATGGTGAACTTACCTGTTGGTTGGACCCCAATTCCTGCTGTTTCTGAGGTCGTAAAAACCTGACATGAGTTTTATAGATGAAGTTGAATTAGATCTACTGTGGGAAGGAAAATTACTAAATGGTCGATTTTGCAAACAAACTTTTAATTGGAAATGGAATCCAAAAGACATTAAGATGTCAATAAAGGGCACTAAACCGTGGTTTATATGTGGTTTTATTGGTGGTTTAGTCCCCTCTAATTTTGTTTTAGATAAAAAGTTTGTAACCAGTTTCATCTATGTGCATCTCCCAACAAAAAAGTCGGGGTTGGTATGGATTAGTACCTCTGTTTGAGATGAAACAACCAATTGAAGCGCTTTCTGTCGAAGTCGAGAGGTATGGTGAACACGTATATTGGAATTTCGAGACCCCAAAATGCAAATGTTGAATCGACCCCTAAGAGATTTCGAGGGAGAGAGAGGCTTGTAAGCCTTTGCAAACAAGGTTAAGGAGGATCCTGCAAGGGCTTCCATTGTCTCTTTTTTTTTCCAAAGAGTCCTAAAATGTGTAAGAAATAAGCACTGGTATATATAACAAACATGAACAAGAAAGCTGAGAAGGGTACGGATCTGGCATGAGGTTTTGATATCCTCAACTGAATGAGAAATTTGGGGCTTTCCTTGTGCGGATTTTCAGTTTTGCTTCTATGCTTTTGTTTGAAGTCTTCAATAATTTTTTTTAAAAATTCTTGCAAGTTTGGAGTTGAAAAGCGGTTTTTTAGGAAGTCCTGTCACATCGCGGCCCGGGGCAGATCACTTCCCGGGCCCGCTCCACCACCGTAGCACGATATTGTCCACTTTGGACCCCGACCACGCCCTCGCGGTTTTGTTTTTGGGAACTCACGAGCAACTTTCCAGTGGATCACCCATCATGGGAGTGCTCTGGCCCCCTTCTTGCTTAACTTCGGAGTTCCTACTGAACCCGAAGCTAGTGAGCTCCCAAAAGGCCTCGTGCTAGGTAGGGATGAGAATATACATTTAAGGATCACTCCCCTAGACGATGTGGGATGTCACAATCCACCCCCCTTAAGGATCCGATGTCCTTGTCAGCACACTTCAGGCCGGGAATTGACTTTGATACTATTACGTGACGGCCAGCATGCCTTGATCTCGGTCGGGGTGTGTCAAGTCCATTTCCAACGGATTTGTTCAAAAGAGGCATAAATTATCCATGCAGGATGTTCGTACTTGGTCACATCAATATTGATGAAAATGTATTGATGACTTGTTTGTCCGTTTTGTTGGCGACAATGCTATTGACTCATCACCTGTATCGACAATCTGTTTCATAGCCGGACAATTTGTATGTATCACCAATGATCATACAACACATGGTAGGTTTATACATATGAGATGGCCGAGAGATTGAAAAATTTGTACATCACTTTGTAGGGGTTTGGAGGTTTAGGTTCTAGCAAAGGGCTTGCACCTTCACCAATAATCGTTACATGAGCAATGCCCGTCTCTGAAATGATGAAACCGATATCGATCTCTCAGCAAGATCTCCCTATCGTAAACCCTTGATATAAGCTTAGCAACTGCGTGGCAGTCTCCGCAAACACGAAGATTCTTCACAACCTGAATTGGTTGAGATGGACTTAAGCTGATAAGCCCGAATGCAATCGCTAATTTCTCGCTGTGAAGGATTAGGGCATGGTTCTTCATGTCTTCTTCCTCAACAAACTGCAGTAGATTTGACTTGTTTGGCACGTATCCATTTGACTTCAATCTCCCTGCTATTTCATCCAACTTTGAATATATTTCTTTGCACAGAGGGTGAGAGTTATCACCAACTAGAAACTCATGAACAATACCATTGACTTCGATTGCACTACAACCGGGTTCTTTCTTAATTCCTGCATCTCGCATACGCTGCCTTAACCCTGAAACTTCTTCCCATTTCCCTGTCTTGGCATAGATATTTGATAAGAGTACATAAGCTCCGTGGTTTCCAGGATCCAACTCAAGCATATGGCTACACGCCTTTTCGGCAAGCTCGACATTCCCATGAAGTCCACAGGCCCCAAGAAGAGCCCCCCATACAGACGCGGTAGGAGCTATTGGCATTTTCTCTATCAACTCTGTAGCTTCCTCCAGATTTCCAGAACGACCTAAAATATCGACCATGCAAGCATAGTGCTTTACACCAGGCACAACCCCGTAAACTGGCTCCATTTGATAGAAAAATGTTCTTCCTTCATCCACCAATCCAGCGTGGCTACAAGCGCATAACATGTTGGTGAATGTCACGGAATTGGGCTTCACCTTGGTTTCTAGCATTCTTGAGAAACAATCCAATGCCTCCCTCCCTTTCCCATGCATTGCCAGAGCAGCAATCATGGCACTCCAGACGAACACATCTCTCCTCTCCACTGAATTAAACACCTCAAGTGCCTTATCCAGATCCCCACACTTTGCATACATGTCGATAAGCGAGGTTGTGAGGTGACAATTCATCTTCATACCCTGCTTCTTTACGTAAACATGTATCCAGCCACCAAGATCAATTGCTCCCAATTGAGCACAGGCTGCCAGGGTACTAACTAGAGTGACTTCATCAGGTTTCGGGCTCTTCCTTTTCTGCAAGTCATGAAAAACCGCCAAAGCCTCCTTTGGCTTACCACTTTGTTCATAAGACGAAATGAGGACATTCCATGCAGCAATGTCTTGACTAGGCATCGCAGTGAAAATCTGCCAAGCCTCATCATAATTTCCTGACTGAGCATACCCATCAAGTATTGTAGTCCAAGAGACAATATCCTTCTCCGGCATCCTATCAAACAATCTTTTCGCTTCCTCAATGCTCCCGCATTTCACATACATATCAAGCATAACATTGTTCAAAGTCAAGTTCTCTCCAATTTCATTCCTTTCGATACGCGAACAAACCCACCTCCCAAACTCCAAATCAACCTTCTTTGCGCAAGCTGACAACACACTCACCATTGTCACATCATTCGGCTTCACATTCTTTGCCTCCATCTCCTTAAACAACTCCAACGCCTCCTCGGGACAATTCCCGTGCGCAAAAGCCGTGATCATAGATTCCAAGACACAACATCTTTCTTAGGAGTCTTCACGAAAACCCGCCGCGCCAAATCCAAATCCCCGCACGATCCATAGAAATGAACCAGAGAATTGAGAATATAAACATCCGAACCAAGCGAGGCCTTTATCACCATGCCATGAAACCCCTCTTCCGAGCTCCAAAACCCGGAGCTCCGAAGCCGCCTTGATCACAAACGGGTAAGTAAATTTATTGGGACTTTCCATACAGCGATAAAGCATTTCCAGAAATACAAGGATGCTTTCAGTCGGATCGGTGCTCGACGCATACGCGCGAATGAGGGTGTTCCAAGAGTAGAGATTTGGTTGGGGAATTTGGTCGAACACTTGGCGGGCATAGTCGAGGCTGGAGAAGGAGGAGAGAGCACAGACGGTGATAAGCTTGCTGGCGGAGTAGGGGTCGAAAAGAAGGCCTGTACGGAGCATTTGGGCGTGGACTTGCTTCAACTGCTTGATGTTGGTGCAGTGGTCAATTGAGGAAAGAGGTGGGCAGCTTGAGAAAAGTTCGTTAGTGGCGGTTGGCGATGGAGGGTTTGGTGGGTGACGTGGTAGAGAGATAAGGGGGGTGCTTAGAGTTGCCATCTCTTCTGTGGTCACTCTCGCACTAGCCGCTTTCACTTGATGTTTTTTTCTGTTAAAAAAGGGCGGTGCTGCGTATGCTAAATTGATACGTCAAATAATGTGACATATTTCAAATTATATAATTTAAATTAAAGTATAATTTTGATTGGTGTCACGTTATTCGGTGTATAAATTTAGTGCAAAAAGTTGAAATACTTACCATTATTCATAAAAACTTCAATATCGTGTCAAATGAGAAAACAATAATGATACCAATTAGGAATCGAGGATGATATTTTCCCGCACAAAGTAAATTTTTTGATATTGTTAATGAGGTATGAAAAATTAGGGAATTCAAGAGTATAGGAACATTTACTAATCGTAGTGTTGTTGATCATGCGTTCATCGTTGTTTCTTAACATTCTATTTAAATCAAGCTAAATTGTGATGCTCAAGATTAGCCTCATGAAAACCTTAAATTCTCCGAGGAGGTTCTACCTCATGGAAACGCTCTTTGATGCAACGTTAACTTTAGCCAGTTGTGACTAAGAAACCATCACTTGGTGGGCTGGGAATGCATGACGTAATGGGGGCGGACAAGATTGAGAGGGCTGCGGTTGGTGCGATGGAGAAGGACAGTGAGGTGAGGAAGAAGGTGGAAGAGATGGGAGAGATGGCTAGAAAAGCTGTGAAGGATGGAGGGTCTTCATTTGCTTCTGTTGGGAGATTTTTAGTATGGGTAGATTAAAAGTTTTTGGTTATCACATATTAATCAATGACACAATGCATATCAAGGATATATGGAAACCGTATGAGAAACATGGATCAAAAAGCTTCCAGAATTTTTACAAATTGACCTCATTTCTTGCAGACCAAGAACTTGCTATCAAATCAACCATAGCCTCACTGCACCAAATCAAACCTACTCATCTCCCCAAAGAAGAAACGAAATGAAACGAAACCATCTATCTCAGTCATGATTTTCCCAAACTGTAAACAAAGAAATAAGATTGGTTTAGTTCGTTTCGGGTTACCCCGATTTTGGTTTGGATTAGTTAGAGACTGACGGGAAGGATCAAAGTTGGGGATTTATTGAATAACCCAGAATTCTGTTGAGTTGGAGGCCGAAGTTCGTAGGTTTAGCTTAGGCTAGGTAGGTCCTACCCCATTCCTATGAGAGGCGAACACAGCACCTGATCTACACGAATTTTTTCCTGTGGCTACTATCTCCCCCACACCTCTGCAACTAAAACTCAATGATAATCAAGTTTCTATCTTACTGTTAACGTTCTTAGCTAAGCACCGTGGTTGTATTTCAAGGTTGAGACTTCTTCGACGCTTCAAAACATACTCCAAAACCCCATTTATATGCAGTAATGTCAATTATTTGCTAGTAATCACAAACTGTTGAAACTTAATCGTCTGCAGTTTGAACTAAATTGAATCATTTGGTGTCTATTTGAGATCCAACACGGTTGATTTCAATAAACCAAACCTATCTTCCTCTCAATTTGCTAAACCCCACAACAAGCAAGCAAATTTGACCAGATCCGCTCAGCTAGCACCTTTTTGAACTTCACATAGCGACGCAAAACTTCTCAAAACTAGTTGTACATTTACAAACACGAGGACAACACGACTAATAAGGTCGATTCAACTCCAAGACATCAAAATCCTCGACTAAAGAACAGATATTCGAAAACCATCCGACAATTTTGAGCAAAAACACTCAAACATTATCAAGTTTCGTCGAAAATGCAACTCTGTTCAACTCCAAGAATGCAAATTCTACGAACACCGGTAAGTGGACACAGCTAACAGAATCAAGACTCAATTTTCACAAATTACAACATCAAAGTTTAAACCTTCTCACAAAAATCATACGAATTAACATTTCAATCACACAAAATATCATCTACCTTACGACAAAAGCAACAGAGAAACAAAATTCAGCCTAAAATTGTTCAAATTCGACAGCAAGAAAACAAGAAAAGCTCCGATTTTTATCAAACAAAACAACTATTACATCAAATTTAAGGAAAAAAAAAGCACAAATTACAGTTTACTGTACCATGAAAATCGAGAGGTTGTGATCACTGTCGGCTGCTATCGTAATCGACGACCTCGGAATCCGCGAGCGATCTGGAGTGCTGAACTATGGACCGTCCGATCGAGTTAATCCACTCCTCCTTCTCCTTCTCCGAATCGGCGATGAAGTACATCGTGTCGTGGTTGGTAGTCGACAGCTCGAAGGCGCAGGGCTTGTGGACCACGTCCTCGGCGCCCTTCACAGTCAGGCACGTGCCGACCGGGATCACACCGCGCGGCGTCGACGAGCGGGTCACGTGACTGTCTTTGAACCAGAACAGCTTCCCCTGTTTCAAGACGAACCAGCGGCGCCTCCACGTCTTGATGTACTCGCCTTGCTTGGTCAGCCACGTGGCGCGCTCAGGATTGGACCAGAACTCGATTCCGGTGTAGTCTTCCGGGCTCGGGTCTTGGCCCGTCGCCGCCCGCCACAGACCCTCCATTTTCTTGGTTCAGCGGCGCGTGAGGTGTGTTTGTGTGGGCGGAGTCAGGGTTTTCGAGGGAGATAAGAGCGCGGTGGACGAGATGGGTTTTATGTGTCTGATTTCTTTTGGGATCCGGAAACAGAAATCGGTTATATGTTCGTCTAATAGCGCAAATCGAGACGGACAGCCTGTTGAGATCAAACGTTGTCCTGTCCTGTTGCGATCGCGATTCAGTTTTTGTTGGGTAAACAAATGAACAATGCTTACGTGCACACGTACCTCGTAATTTTTTTTAATTAATAAGTTAATCGTCTTAGGCTTGAAACTAAAAAAACAGTATGTTCGTAATTAATTTATTTTTATATCGGTTTCTAAATTATAAATGATATTTTGCATTAATCCCAAAACGTAATAAGTTGAAGAGTAAGACCTAATCGTTATGACAATCCACTGCTTGCATTTGTAATCTAAGTAATTTATTTTCATAATAGAAGGTTTTGATACAAATTACTAATGAAACAAATTTTATTGCGAATTTGAGTAAATTAAAGTATTGATCCCTCGCTATAACCCAATAGAAGGTTTGGGTATTGAAATTATAAGTTCTTTAACCTTATTATATGAGGTAACAACTATACAGGTTTATATTACTATCTAATGATATTCTTTTTTACTTTTAAGTGAGAAGTCTCATGTGACTCCTATGGATGATGAAGACGTATTATATTTGTATTGAGTTCGTTACCTAATTAATGATTGGCCTATTGTGTGAATTAGTTCCCCTCTCCTTCAAATACAATATTATTGTACCGAAAAAAAAAGACATTGGTATTTGAATTTGACAAGTACAGAGCATTTGGCCATTGACGCCAGGTCGATGAATTTTCACCAAAATTAATCACGTGAAACACAGATGTTTAAAAAGAGAAATTGTTGTAGTCTTAAAAGGGGCTCATGTGCATTTGGCGTGCATAATTTTGATGGACATTCAACTGAAGTTGGTTAAAGCAAATGCTCCACATTTTTGTCAAATTTAGATAAGAGCTTTTCTATTTAAACTCCACACCCTTTCTAAGTTCATCCCAAATTTTGTTTAACGCCTTAAAGTTCCAAGTTTACTGTTCTTTAACACTACAGTTTAATTATATTCTTCTTCGCTTGTAAGTGAGAGGTGTTTGATTCTTGCCAAATACGAATTTGAATCATATTATTGCTTGCTCATTGTGAGACTAAGCTCATCCCCTCTTACTTAGTATAAATAATATCGTTTGTTAAAAAAAAAATCCAAGTTTACCTTACTAATAAAATACTCTCCACTAAAACTAATAATATAAAGATAGGATAAAAACCTAGAAAAAAACCTACATTGCAACCCCCCCCCCCCCTACCAACCAACCACCGACGGCCACTTTCTCTCGGTCCCTCCCGCACCAACTTGACAATCAGCTTCTCTAGGTTTTTGCCTTGGGCATATATCTGGGCAAAAGCTACTAAGGAACAAGAACAATAAAGATCATATGCAGAAGGATAAGAAAAGCACTTGCAACTTAGCCTGCTGCAGAAGATGCAGTTAGGATTGATGATTAACATTCTGCATTAGTAAGGGTTTAGTAAGAGGAGCAGTTTTTTGGGTATAACGTGGGCAAATACCTAATAGTGCACCTTTGTATTTTTGTATGGCAAGAAAATCTCGATGTATATGTATAAGGGTTTAGATGGATTGAAAAGATTTTAACTTTATAAGAACGAGTGGTTCTCATGTGTCGTAAATTTGTAATGGCCTTTTATGTTTACAAAAGTCATCACCCTCGAAGTCTACACGGGGAAGACCAGATTCTTTCCGAGTCTTTGATCAGTTGTTGTACATTCTCTCGATCTCGATCATGGCTTTGGCTGTGGTAGGTGGAGCCGTTCTCTCCGGTTTCTTCCAGCAAGTGTTTGTGAAGTTGGACTCTCAGGAGGTCAAGAACTTCATCAGCGGAAAGAAACGGACCGGTGAGTTATTGAACAAGTTGGAGACAACGTTGATCTATGTTCATGCTGTTTTCGATGACGCCGAGGAGAAGCAAATAAGCAACTTAGCTGTGAGGCAGTGGCTGACTAAGCTCAAAGAGGTAGTCCTTGATGCGGAGGACCTGTTGGATGAGATCAAGACAGAAGCGCTAAGCCGGAAAATGGAAGCTGAGTTCGGAAGTAGCACTAGCACCAACAAGGTACAAGGTCTTATCTCTGCTTCAGTTCGTGCTTTTGACGAGACAAGTATAGACTCCAGGATAGAGGAAATTCTTGAGAGGCTAGGGTTCGTTGCAAAACAAAAAGATGCCTTTCATTTGAAAGCAGGTTGCAAGCACAGAATCTCACAAACGCTGCCTTCAACTTCCTTGGTTGAAGGCTCTGATGTGTACGGAAGAGATAAAGACAAGGAAACCATCATTAAGTTGTTGCTATCAAATGATGTTACTGGCAGTAAGATAGGAGTCGTTCCTGTTTTCGGCATGGGTGGGATCGGAAAGACCACCCTTGCTCAGCTCGTTTTCAACGACGATGCAGTGAAGGGGCATTTTAACCTGAGAGCATGGGTTTGTGTTTCTGAGGTATTTGATGTTGTTAAAATAACACAAACACTGTATGGGTCAGTTACTTCACAAAATTGTGATATTACAGACCTAAATATGCTCCAAGTTAAACTCAAGGAGGTTTTGACAAGGAAGAAGTTTCTTTTTGTTCTTGACGATGTTTGGAATGAGAGTTACAATGATTGGGATATTTTAAGGCGTCCATTTGAGTCTGGAGTTCGCGGAAGTAAGATCATTGTCACTACACGCAACAAAGGTGTTGCCTCTATGATGGGTACTCGTCCAACCCACCATCTAATGCAAATACTTGAGGAAGATTGTTGGTTGCTGTTTGCAAAACATGCCTTCGAGAATGAAAGTGGTTTTGTAGATCCAAATCAAGAAGTAATTGGGAGGCAAATTGTTAGCAAGTGTAAAGGCCTTCCTTTAGCTGCAAAATCGCTTGGGGGCCTCTTACGCTCTGAATCAAATTTGGAAGAATGGAAAAATATATTACAAAGTGACATATGGGAGTTGTCAGATGCGAAGAGTGGCATTCTACCGGCTTTATGGCTAAGCTACCAATACCTGTCTCCACATCTCAAGCGTTGTTTTGGCTATTGTTCGATATTTCCCAAAGACTACAAATTTCGCAAGTCGGAACTAGTTTTGTTGTGGATGGCCGAAGATCTTTTACAGCCCAACAGGATGAAAATGATGGAAGAAGTTGGAGAGAAATACTTTGATGATCTAGTTTCAAGGTCATTCTTTCAATATTCCTCATACAACTCTTTCATCATGCATGATTTAATAAGTGATTTAGCGAAATTCGTATCTGGAAAGTTTTGCATTAGGTTGGAGGATATTTGCTCACTGGACGATGTGACCAGGGCTCGCCATTTCTCTTATTTGGAATCATACGATGTTGATTTCCAGAGATTTGATACTTTATATGAAGCTAAGTACTTGCGCACCTTCCTTTTAGGGTATTCATTGCCCACAGTACGATGTGATCTACTTCTAAAACTGCAATGTTTGAGAGTGCTCAAATTACAAGGGCACCACATGAAGGAGTTGCCTGATTCGGTTAGCAACTTGAAACATCTACGGTACTTGAATCTGTGTTGGACTTCAATCAAAAAATTACCTGAAACAATAGGTAGTTTGTGTAATTTACAGACATTATTGTTGTCAGAGTGTAAAGATCTTTCTGAATTGCCAGCTACTTTGAGTAGACTTATCAACTTGCGTCACCTTGATATCACGGGAACGAAGATAAAAAGTATGTCCCTCCACTTGGGTAAACTGAAAGATCTTCAAACATTAGGAGGTGCATTTGTTTTAGACAAACATACTGGGAGGAATATTGTAGAGTTAAAGGGGTTTCAGCAATTGCGTGGAACACTTCATATTTCAGGGCTTCACAATATTGTCCATGCCAAGGATGCTTTGGAGGCCAAAATGGGCGACAAGAAGCATCTCAGTGAAGTAACTTTGAAATGGGATGGTTGCGGTGACGATTCTCAAAAAGATAATGCAGTGCTGCGCAACCTGCAACCCCATACAAACCTGGAAGTACTGACAATAGAAAGATATGGTGGTACAACATTTCCAAGTTGGTTAGGCGATGACTCTTTCAATAATCTTGTTAGTCTCCGGCTTGAGGATTGTCGATATTGCTTTTCAATGCCACCATTGGGGCAGCTACCCTTCCTCAAAAGGCTTGAAATTGAGGGGTTAAATGGAGTGGAATTGGTTGGTTCTGAGTTTTATGGAGAAACTAAGCCTGCATTTAGATCTTTGGAATATTTGAGATTTCAATGGATGCAGGAGTGGCAAGAGTGGTCTTTTGCTGGACGTATAGGAGGCGAAGGAGCAGATTTTCCTAATCTTCGTGAGCTGAGTGTGAAGTTCTGTCCCAAACTTACCGGGAAGTTACAGTTGGACTGCTTCCCAAGACTTGAACTGCTGACATTGTGGAGTGTTAATATTGAGTCCCTTGCTTCTTCGCAAGAATGTGATGAATGCCGTATTGAGCTCCCATGTCTCCGTGAATTGCAAACAATGAATTGCCGAAATCTCATAGGTTTTGTGGGTGGTGGAGTGCTGCTTGCGCCCAAGTTGACGGTGCTATCTATGTTCGCGTGTAAGAACTTGTGGTCACTACCAGAAGAGATGCACATCTCCCTGCCATCTGCTCGGTTTATACACATAGAAAATTGTGAGGAGTTTGAATGGTTTCCCCTAGAATCTGAACTGCTATCGCTTCGCCAGCTGAGAATATCTGAATGCCCACATTTTCTGGGTTTTCGCAGTGGAGGAAGGCTGATGGTGCCCAAATTAACAAGTTTGAAATTCTGTAGATGTGAGAAACTGAGGACACTGCCAGAAGAGATGCTCATCTCTCTCCCATGTCTTCAGTCTCTGTCTATACAAGAATGTAAAGAATTCGAAGCATTTCCGGAAGAATGTAACCTCCCATCCCTTGAAAATTTGAAGATATTGGACTGCCCAAATTTTGTGGGTTTTCCCCATGGAGGGTTGCATGCGCCCAACTTGACGAAGATAGATATGCGTGAATGTGAGAAGTTGAGGTCGCTCCCAGCAGATATGCACTCCCTTGTCCCGTCTCTTGAGTTTCTGTCCATATCTTATTGTCCAGAGTTGGAATCATTTCCGGAAGGGGGACTGCCGGCTAAGTTGGAGTTGCTCAAAATCGGAGGTTGTAAAAAACTCATCGCAAACCGTATGCAATGGGGTCTACAAAGACTCACCTCTCTCAGACGCTTAGGGGTCGGCTTCTTTGAATGTGAAGACGTAGTAGAATCATTTCCGGAGGAGGGGCTGCTGCCCGCCACTCTCACTTCTCTCTCAGTCTCTGGAATTCTCGACCTGAAGGTGATCGATGGCAACGAGTTAAGACACCTTATCTCTCTCGAGAAGTTTAGGATTTTCTTTTGCCCTCAACTCCAGAGGTTGCCAGATGAAGGGCTACCCACTTCTGTTTCTCTTCTAGAAATATGGGACTGTAATTTGCTAACACCACGGTGCCAGAGAGAGACGGGAGAAGATTGGCCCAAGATTGCTCACATTCCCAACATAATTATCGACCAGAAAAAGATATGATCGGAAAAGGTGCACAATTCTTCAAAGTTTACCTTATGCTGTGTGAATTTTTAGTTGCTATTTTAGCCCATCAGTTCATATTGTTGAATTCTTTTCTTGAGTGACAAGTAAACCATTATTTTCTAGACTCCCTCCTCCTTTCTAACAGTTAGATGCATCTTATATGACAGGTTAAACTCTGATATATATATATATATATATATATATATATATATATATATATATATATATATCTCGAAGATTGTCCGCAATCGTTTCTAGAAGAGGAATTGCTGTCAACATTAGAAAAGCTTTCCATCCGCTCTTGCATTATGCTGGAAACTTGTCAGAAAGTGAAGAAGAAACTGAAGAATCATTTCCGAAGGAGGGGCTGCCCACCACGCACACTACTCTCAAATTCCTTTGCTACCACCGGATAAGTATTGGACGGGGTCTTCTACCACTTTCCTTTTGCACCCTAACACTGTCGTCCAATTTTTTCATTCCGCGTCTGCTTGCATTCGCTTTTAATTTGGATCAAAAGTACAAGAGAGTTGTTCGGATAAGGGTGAATAAAAAGACTAATTTAAAGATGAATTTAACATATGCAAATGTATTTACGTAAGTAGCTCTTCTGTACTTTGCTAAAGTTTCTGTGGTGGTGTAATGTGCCTGGTTTGATAGACATTGTCTTTGGTCAACCAGGCAGTTGATCAAATGGGATTAGACAGACAGATTTCACCCGTCCTTACGGCAAGTCCCCAGGTCCTACTAGGACCGGCTAGGCTGCCGATGGTGTTGACACAATTTTTCAATCCTCAAGAAGCTTATAAACGCTGACAATCTTTAGATAAAGGGAGTTCTAACAAAACACTCAATGTACGAGAACAATACAAGTGGATGGTTGAGAAAAGAGAGATTTACCTATCACATACCAAAATTTCTTCCTTTTGAGCAACAAACGACGCATTTGGTCAAACGATTACCATTTCATCATGCCTCAAGGATGCATAGAGCTCCAAAAGTTTCCGGATTGATTCATGTGTGTAGGTGTGAAGTCGTGGGATAAAATGTACGAGAAAATTATAAGCAAACAGAAGTAAAATCTTCAGCATAGATTTTGGATTCCAGAAAGTCTCCTTAGTACCAAAGAAGCATAAGTTTGAAAATCAACTTCTAATTCTCAAAACAAACGAAAAAAACAGAAAAGCTACATATTAGTACCCCTAGTTGGACGGCATACATGATTTCTTTTACGAGCATGCTCATCATTATGGTGTTGTGTCCGACATGCATACCCATACCAGCAATTTTCCCTGTTTGACGCTTCTGGGGGCAGATGATATTTGGGAATTGAAACCCGAAACCAGTACAAGAGGAATGATATCAGCTTCTCATAACAGTAATTGCATGTAGGTGTTGCAGAAGTTATCGTCTCACCATGATTCAGGGGCATCCTTGTTCGATCAATTTCTCTGTTGTCCAACTTTGCAAGCCATTCTGCAATAACATCCTGCAATGTTCTCCCCAAATGTGCAATACACTTCTCAGTGATAACTTGTTCATGTCGATTGTTTTCATGTGCTGAAGTAGGCATTCTAGAGATGGTGTGTTCTGAGATAGGTTTAAAAGTCTCGCGACTGCACATGCGGTGAGAATCACTTTGTGCAATCCCTTGCGCATGCCAATATGCACCACAGAATGCCTTATCACATCCTAAACAGTGTTGAGGTACACTGTAGTTGGTTTGCAAAGGCATCATTCCTCCGCATGCTTGACATTGCAGATGGATGGTGGTTTGATTGCAGCGAAACCCACCATATTCAGTACCACATTGAGGGCAGGGATTTGACGCATTATCAGCTTCTTGATCCACCTGGGAGCGAGCCCTTTTTCCTCGTAGATGTTTTCCAGAGTTTATGACAAGATTAGATAGTATTGTTGCATAAGAGTCTAAAATTGCCACTTCATCATTGGAGCGTATTAATGAAGAATCTGCTTTTAGCATTTCCTCTGCAACATTAAGCAGGAAGTGATTCCTTCCAACAAACTGCACAACTGCTCGACATTGGGGACAGAGTACACTTGAACGTTTCTCCTGTGATCTTTTTAACCACTCCGAGAAGCAACCATTGCAGAAATTATGGAAGCAAGGAGCAACGGTGACAACATCATGCCATATATTCAAACAAATGCAGCATTTTGCATGCTCAGCATCCATAGAAATCTTTAACTGCTTCTGACAAGTTTCAGGACCAGGCAATACGTTGAACCTGTAGCTTAAATACCCTTCCTTATCAAGACCTGAAACAATTTCACTTCCACATCTGATAACAGTAGTGTCTTCAGCTTGGATTACACTCCCGTCAACAACTATTGCATTTGACCTTTTATTTTGTATTGTGGCAGAAGAGTGGTCTGAATTCCTTGTTATCTTGCACCACTTGCATTTGTGAATAGAAGAGAACAAGATCTCTGAACAAACTACAATCTCATCCGAACTAATCTCCACATCCAGGTATCTTGAGTCTGACGGAACAAGCTTGGCCCAGATTTCTTCACAGGGTTTTGCACCTGATATTTCTCCAACTTCCGTCATCCCTTGAATATTCACAAAGGAACCTTTAATTAAAATCTCACGGATAAGCAACCGACCATTGTTTTTTTCATTAAACAAGAAACAAACAAGTACATATTCTTTACCGCTCATCAGAAAGTTCAACCAAGTATGAAAACAAGACAGATTCGCACTCAAACTAATTCAAATTGTAATATTCACGAAACATGCTTCCATACCAAATGGTCCGAATATTTCAACACCAATAAAGAGATCAACTTCATGTTTAAGACATCCTACAACTACATAAATTGAATCATAAAAATTCCAACTTTGGCCGATAAACAATAAAAAAATGAAAAGAATTTGCAACTTTCACCCAAGTTCAGTTTTCACAGGATTCTTTCATATAGGATTATATATCAGTTTAGGAAGAACTGGCAGTTTTCACCTGGGAAAACTGTAAAAAAAAAAGCCAAAATTTAACCCCTAATAATGGCAAATGAGAAAAAGTTTGCAAGTTTGCAACTTTAGCCAAAGTCTAATTTGAAAGGCCTCTCACAAACAAAATTATAGAATTATCCACTAATCTATCAAGAATTGACAGGTTTTACTAACGAAATTGAACAAATAGCCAAAAATGTAACCCTAATGATGAAAAATGAAAAACAAAGTTTGCAACTTTAGCCAAAGTTTGATCCTTTAACCCCCCACAAGTAGCAATTAAGCCAATCCGAGCAGTAATTAAACCCATAAATTCCAGAGAATGTTACTAGCGAACAAGATTCGCTACAATTTCTAGAATTTTACACAAACATTTCCAGGAATATTAAAGGAAATTATGAATACCAAGAAATAAGAAACAAAATGATCAGAAAAGAAAAAAATAAATACCTGTTGGGAGGAAAAGGAAGGATGGAAGATGAGATGGGTAATCGTGGGATCGAGGAAAAGTGCCACTGTCAGCGGACGAACAACTGAATTCAGAAGAAGAAGAATGGCAAGGGCAGGAGTGATGGGCTTGTTAAGTGGGCCTGCTAGCTAAAAGGTTTGCCCATCACAAATTTTGAGCCTTTCTCCCTGCGCATATGATGGGTCGTGCGCACGGGCTGCGTATCATTCGGACTCGATCTACGGAATTACGTATATTTGTACTACTTTTTCAATGGGGGTAAGACCCACGAGCATACGTGGTCTCATCTTTATTAGAGAGATGATACAAATAAGTGTTAAGATTATCATTTTGGGTTAACTCGGACTAAAGATACAAAGCGAATAAAGCAATGTGAACGACATTGCAACTGAATATCAATTTCATATTAACAACGTAATTGTAACTCTTGAACACGATTCATATGTGCATGAGAGAAGCTAAACAAGTTTCTATTATTCTTTTTCTCATAAGCATGCTCCTGTTTATTTATAGTTTTTTATTCTGTTTTAGTTCTTTCAATTCAAAATCTATAAATAAACAAGATATGCAATTGATCACCTTTACTTATCAACGTTAAAAAAATTATCGACTAATGTTGTGGTGTAGCTGTTACGACTATTCACCTGTAAATGAAAAGTGTTAAAGTAAGTTTATCATGTATATATGGCAAATGCGTAGGTGAACTACCGTTTTGATTTAAAAAAAGGGGTGGGGGGTGGTTGGGTTGAAAAAACCATAGCTGACATCATTTTTAATGATTTACTTATTTTTGTTCAAACGTACACATCTACATCATTTTATGCCGTCAAATGCGAGAGTAATTTGCACGGCACATGTATTATCATTGCGATGTTATGCGTTAGTAATATCCACATCTAACGGATTAAATTAACACATATATTTGTATTATTGACAAATAATATCGCCTTAAACGTCGTTGTCTACGAATGAAACCAGAGTTTATCTGGTTTTTGTTTCCGCGGAGGAGCGTGTGGTGTACGAAGATAAGCATGAATGTGAATGTAACGCAACGAAAGTACAGAAGAAAGAAGAAGATTAGATTGCAGACAACAACCAAATCGAAATGATCATGATAAGGCTTCCCCTGCTTACCACGTCATCGAATTATTAGTTTGGTGAGACGCGATTGTCCTTTAGTCAACTCTTCATCTTCTTCTACCTCGCAAAAACTGCATCCCATCAAAATATTGGCTTTCTCCAGTCCCTGCATTTTCCAGGTAAGCGCATATATCTCTTTTAGCTCCTTTCATCTTCCATCTTTGGATTGTGCTCGGGCGTATGGCATGTACCGGATAAATGAAGCGTTGAATGTGTAGCTAATTATTCAACGTGTAAGGATCGGAGATATCGGTGTATAGTTTTACGAGGTGCATGCTAGAAAATCCCTAAAATTGTATGTATAGCAAGTTCATGTATTCATGTAATGCTAAGCCTGTACTTTTGTTAGTTTCAATAGAAAATATTTGGAAGTTACCAAAAAACAACAACAAAATATGTGGAAGAAAGAGGGTTCCAATTGTTTTGAGCCAGTAAACTGCATATGAACGACTGTAGTGTTGGCGTGTCTATAACATATCCGCGTTTATAAAAGTGCAGTTAACCGCGCCGGAGGAAAATTCTAGCCGATATATACTTGGAAGTTAAAATCTTGGTTACTTATTGTAGACTAGAACATTGCATGATTCCTCTCTGTTAGGGTGGTGCTATACACATTCCCATTTTACCTTCCACACAGGCCTCTCAATTTTTGCGGCCGTCGGATCGACTGAATTGGAGAGGATCAAAGGACATAAATCAGTAGAGGGTGTGTGAGAGGTAAAAAGAGGTGTGTGGATAGCACCACTCTTTTGTTATTGGAGACTAGATTACTTACTCTCAACTCTTGCATCCAATATCAGGCCTTTTTTCGGATGTTTACTTACCGGTTTTTGATATTTCACAAACTTGGTGAATCTGAGTTATTTATCAAACACTTTGGTAAGTTGTTCATCTTCGCTTGATTTGTTTGCAACCAGTGAATCTCTCTTGAAGTGATCGCGTGTGCCTTTTGATCGAGAACCTTCGCTAGTAGTATTAGTCACTGCATCAATCTCTTGAAGTGAATCTCTCTTGAAATTAAGGCGTGTATTCCAATTGTGCGCGTAAGAGCTGAAATTCATTCAAATCTTTATTCTGCATTAAGAAATGGAGTTGATCGGAGCAATGGTCCCTAAATTAAAAATCCGTTGGCTTTGATAACAAGTCAGTCCCATTTTTCAGGGGAGAGGTTGTACTGATTTACATGCATAAGTAGTTGGAAAATCAAACATTGCAGCTATGGCTACTACGAAGATATACATCGTGTAAGTATCTCCATCCCTCTTAATTTCTTGCGGCCGCGCATTCTTTTGAGAATATTTGAACCATTCATATTTGTATTCGCAAGAATTCTACTCCTGAACTGATTTGGGATGTTGAAACATGAAACTACTTCTTGCAGGTACTACTCCTTGCATGGACATGTAGAGATTATGGCACGTGAAATACATCGTGGAGTTAATTCGGTTGAAGGTGTTGAAGCAACACTTTGGCAGGTAACATCTTGGATTTGATCAAATCAACAACAGATCTTGATGCTTGTAAGATCATTCAATATTCTTAAGAGAGTTTGTTTGACTTGATTGGAATGGAGCAGGTGCCCGAGACGCTCTCCAGTGTCATACTGCAAAAGGTGAAGGCCCCTCCTAAGGCAGATGATGTGCCGGAAATAAGGCCAGAGCAGCTTGTGGAAGCTGATGGCTTCCTCTTTGGCTCACCTTCTCGTTTTGGTGTGATGGCATCACAGTTCAAGGCCTTCTTTGATGCCACCGAAGAGATATGGAAAAAGCAAGCGCTTGCTGGCAAACCTGCTGGAATCTTCTGGAGTACAGGATTTCATGGCGGAGGGCAGGAGCTTACCGCGTGAGTTTTTTGACCTTTCGTCCGTTGAAGATTAACATTTCACTTCCCTTGATTACATCCGATTGTTTGCAGATTAACAACCGTAACACAGTTGGCACATCATGGCATGATTTTTGTGCCTCTTGGGTACACCTTCGGGAGCGGCATGTTTGAGATGGATGCTGTAAAGGGTGGATCAGCTTATGGCTCTGGAACTTTTGCGGCAGACGGATCACGTCAACCAACAGAGCTAGAACTCCAGCAGGCATTTTACCAGGGTAAATATGTGGCTCAAATTGCAAAGAAACTCAAAAATTAAGAGGGGAGGGGGGAGTTTCGAACCCGGGACTCATGGGTAGAAACTCAACGCCTATCCAATAAAATATTGGACCACATGCCAGTTGCGCTTAATTTCAAGATGCTGTATATTTATATGTCCTTTCAATGTGAAAAACCAATAACCATAAGTTGATGAATGAAGAGGTCCATCTTCTTGCTACTTCCTTGATCGTTGATATTGCAAGTTGTGGCAAGGGCTTGTCCTGTCTTGAGTTTGTCATTGAACATTGTTTAGTTGTGGGACTGTTGATGCATCAACCCCGCATGTGAACTACTGACTGTAACATGAGATCTTTTACTTTTATCAAATTCACATCATCCTTACAAAAAAAATTCTTGTAATCGCTTTGATCCTTTAAATCCAAGTTAAAACCCTAAAAATTCTTTGAGACTCAAATTATGTATCATACAAACACGAAAAAGACGGCAAACGGATTGTTTTCCCCAACTAAAAAGATCTGGGCTTGGAGTTGCACCCGGATAAGGGACCAAATGCCCTTGCCGAATTCCAAGCTCTCCAGTCATCCTTTGAGATCCTCAAGGATGAAAAGGACAGGAAAAAGTTTGATGATTTGATAAAGAGTAAAGAGAGACCAGCAACGCCTCCTTTCACAGCGCAATGCCAGCCACCATCTGCAGCACAATGCCAGCCACAATTCGCAGCACAATGCCGATGATTTTGAAGCAAGACAACAAGCTGCAATGCACGCGAAGAAAAAGGCGAAGGTGGCAGCAACAGCTTTTTCTGTTCCTAAATTGGATCAGGAGAAGGTGCTTATAGTTCCTTTGAACGAGGATGGTGAAGAGTACACGGAGAGGAGGTTGAGAGATTTCTTCTCGAGGATTGGCAAGGTCGCCAGAGTCCTCTTCAAAAACAGAGGTTAGGCGGGAATTGTCACGCCGACTAAGGATGCAGCGGTGAAGGCAAGAGAAAGCCTGTCTGGTGATCGTTCTAATCTGTTCCGGGTTTCAACATATGACGCTGTTCGCAAAAAGTTTTAAGGGCAAAAGCAGCAATGAATGATAGATGAAGCATGGAGTGAATAATTTGGGTTTTAACATTTGCTTGTGTATGCCATTACTTTTACATTTTAGTTTGTTTAAATGTTTAAGTATCAAACTCACGTTATTCGTACAAAATAATGACTCACCTCAACTCTCGAGTAAAATGTTGAAATTACAAAAAAAACTTGAAAGGGTCACAAACCAGAAAACGTATTCATTTATCAACGAACGAGGACTCTGCAAGGTCAATTGCGCGCGCAAGAGCAGCAGCTTTGTTCTCGCACTCCCTCTGCTCGTCAGCTGGATCGCTGTCAGCGACAATACCAGCCCCGGCTTGAAGATGAGCAACCCACTCTCTGCGCTTGTTTGCGTCCTTGTATGAATACATTGTATCATACCGAAAACTAGTTGGGAAAACAATAGTTCTAAGAGCTAGAGCGATGTCCATGTTGCCAGAAAATGAAATTCCTCCAAAACCACCACTGTATGGACCACGTCTAGTCACTTCCAGCTTATCGATCAGCTCCATGGCTTTCACCTGCATTGCAGTAGAGCCAAGAATGAGAAAAGTCGAGAATTAATCCTAAGCGAGTCCACAAAAGATAGATTACGAAATCATGACATCAGGTTCCATATATCTACCACTACCAATACTGGTGTATAAGCCAATTGACCCAATTCCTTACTGATTAGGTTAATGCTCAAGGTTTGTAATTGCAGGATTAAACAGGTTCATTAAGTCTAGGATCAATTTAGCGTAACTAATAAGAAATAAAACAAAGATGCCAACAAAAAATGAAAACCGGCTCATGAAGAAAACCTTTGGTGCTCCACTGACAGTCCCAACCGGCAACGCAGTACGCAGAACATCCCAGCTAGTTAAATCATCACGTAACTCTCCCGTGACCTACAATTACATTAAACTTTCATCCCTTAATTCAATTGGTTGTTGAGTACATTACACTGATAAAAACGGATATATAGACCCTATGAGAAAAAAATTCTGAAACTCATGTCTACAAATGCGTGAATGTGTCATCAATCGTTATAGATAGATATTAGGTCACTTATTATGTGTATTACAAAAGGAGATACTTACTGTTGAACTTATGTGCATGACATGGGAATACCGCTCAATGTTCATGAGCTTCTCAACCTTGACAGAACCCGGTTTTGAAACCTTCATAAAAAAAATTATCAATCGCGTTACTATGGTCACAAGATGCATCATGAAGAAAACAGATTATACAACAAAAATGTTATAAAATATAAGAAATAGTAGTCACTTAAGCCATGAACAGACAAGACAGCAAGTGTAAACTTATCAAGCTAAAGCTGAAATAAGAATTAATGAAATAATTTTACCCGCCATGGATTGAGAATAGATACAGGGGAGAATAAAATTTAACATATGCATGGTTTTACACTCTGGAGAATAAAATTTGACATACAGTAGAATGTCAATAATCATACAAAAAGGAGAAGGGAAAGAGTATAAACCTTCCCGACATCATTCCTCCCCAAATCTACAAGCATAATATGCTCTGCACATTGCTTTTCATCATTCAAAAGCTGCTTTTCCAGCATTAAATCTTCTTTAGGTGTTTTTCCTCTTCCAACAGTCCCAGCAAGAGGCCGGTTGGTGATCGTTTGCTATTAACAAAAATAAGAAACGCACAGCACAGCAATTTATAGCCAATGAAGATTATAACACTCTAGTAGGAAAACAAAAGGGGCCAAAGAAAACATAAAATGTAGGGACATCTTGTAGGAACCAACAAAGGTTACAGTTACACCATCATAGAGGTTTGGGAGCTAGCAACAGAATAGCACACTCAGATAAGGTTTTTGGACTTCCTTTACTTACCTTCTTAACATGTGTCAGAATTTCTGGACTTGACGCAACCAAAATACAGCCTCTAGCCTGATCATGGAAGTATATACTCGTATAATCTCAGAATTAAGGTGAACAAGTAGACTGGAACCAATGATTTGCTGCAAAAAGGCAAACCTGTAAATAAGTCATATATGGACTTGGATTAACTATCCTCAATGCACGGTAAATTTCAAATGGGTCTGCAAATGTTCGCCTCTCAAAACGCTGGCTTAATACAATCTGAAATATATCCCCAGCTAGAATGTGTTCTTTAGCTTTCAAAACTGCCTCCTTATATTCCTCACTTGTCAAGCTTGAGTCCTCCAATTTAGTACCAAAATGTTGAGTGTTGAACTCTATTGAACCTGCAGGCAGCCTCGGGCTGAAATTGACAGTTGGTACATTCTTAAATCAACCTTAAGTTTAAAAAAGTAATAGTAATGAATAAGTATAGAAGACTAATTTCCCCAGCCCTGAGGCAACCTCAAGTTGAAATTGACTGTTGACATAAGCATATATTCGTGATCAAAAGTGGTATTAGAGAGGGTGGGATGAGTAGAAAATAGGAGAGGAATAGAAACTCAACAAAAGAAAAATAGAAAAGAAATGTGAAAGAAAGGAGTTGATTACTCACGTGACAATGTCATGCACTCTAGATACCAGTGTTTCCAATCTATTTATTCCATCATTGAAGGCCTCTCCAACAGAAGAATATTGATCTAATTGCACCCAGTGAATTACATGAGCTTTCTATAGCAGACAAATTAAAAAATAGAAATGGTTATAGTCGCAAAAGGTAGCACCGTATTTCTTAAAATAAAAATTTACAACCAAAGCATGAAGTTGACTAATTCTCCTAGTTCAATAATGGAGCTGGATGCAGATATTTTGATTCACCGTGGCAGTAAAAACAAACAAGAACTTTGAAGAAAAAGAATATCAGCATAAGAGCGAGTAACTTGGACGAAAGAAACTATTTTAACAAAAAGAAGTAGATGTCTTTTCTATTCTGACATGCATTTGAATCTAAGTATTTTAAACTATTTTAAAAATCACAGTACCTTCTCCACATGATCGAACACTATCACATCGTCATAAAGACCAAGATGAACATCAGGAAGATTTCTGTCATCTGGCGGTGCACTCGGAAACGGCAGCTTTTTCTTCTCAACATAACGTACTGTATCATAAGAGAAGAAACCAACCCAGCCGCCTGATAAAGAGAGTGGATGTTATTAACCACCACTAGTAACTTCGAGAACCTCCATTATTTAAGACCGAACTATACAATAATACGAGGATAAATGGAAAGTTTGTGACAAATAAGTCTTTTGCGAGAGTCCAGAATATCACACAATACATAACACTAGTGTCAACATAGTACATCTAAGCCTAAGAAAATGTACAGGAAAATATGAGCAGTACTCCTAACCCACAATTCTACTTGCCTAGTCCAAAACTTCGAGATTAAGAGGGAAAAATTAAGCAAAGCACAGTTTTCAATTTCATAAACATCTTCACCACAACTATACAAGTCTAAGGAGAAGTGGTTTACTTTGAATTGAGAGGATTAAGATATGAGTACTGCAAGAAAATTTAAAATATGTTATTTGTGCACTTATCGTACCACAAAATGCTTCTGGAAGTTCATCAAGAAGTTGGGGTGTCCATCCCTCCATGATTCTCCGAGGAACAGTCATTGGATCCTCCACAATCTCCTCTGTCCTACAACCTTCTCTATGGTCCATAATGGTAACCATGTTCTCTTTTGCTACGATTTCAATGGATGGCTGGGCCCCAATAACACTGTACCGCCCCTAACAAAAGATTAACATAATAAGTGATTCACTTTTGCCTAAGGTTAGAAGCAAACAAATACACATTATACAAGGGGCTGAGGGCGCTTACAACATTGGAGTCTTTGGAACCCGGCTCAACTGACTCAAACAGAAAACTTGGAGCATCTCTATCATCCTCCTTAACCAGACACCGGTAAGCAAGCACAGGAGTTAGATGATCCGAGAATATGCTCCGATATAGAGGAATTAAATTCCCCTTCTTCGAGGCTTCTACAAACTTCTCTGATTGGTCGGCTGCAGTAAAATCAATCATACGAATCAAAACTCACATTAGTATAGCACATTGAGTCCATTACAAACAGACATTGCTTGACTCACCGCATATCATAAGTCTTTGAAATTTTGGACAAATTATAATAACTGCCAAAATTATTGTTCAGCTAATCGAACCAAAATTAAAATTTACAATGTAAATCAAAATTCTATTAACTACAAACCCAAAAATTCAATTTCTTTAATTTCTCCAGCAAACAGAC